TCCCACTATTCCCTACTGACTTGCCTTTTTATGTAGAGATGCCTGTGGGTGGGTTTCTCGGAAACAGTTTCTGGAAAGACCGATTAGAAGCCCACGTTCTCAGGCTCTGTTTCAACTCTGCATTCCCTGGCTGGAAGTGCCTGCGTTATTCTCAGCTCCTCTCTGGACCCCATCTGCCCAGAGGATTTGGGCATCGGGAACTGGGAGATGCTGCCCATGCTGAGGGCCCAGGAGAGCAAGTCAAGGACACAGAACATACCGGACCTCATCTCGGCCCCTCTGCCTCCTGGGCTTGGCATTCTTGTAAAAGACACCCTCTTCATTTGAATCGACTTGGTTTCCAACTTTAAWAATTCATGTTGATTTGAAAGCTTTATTCTTACCAGGAGTCACAAGACAGCAGAGTTAATATTGGAACAGTCCAAGAAGAAGAGGGAAGTCGGGAGAAAGATTGGGAAAAATGCCCTTTAAAAAATAATTTATCAGACATCCGACACCCTCACTTCCAATCCCCTCACCCTGCTGCACTCTTTTCTTCTCTATAGTGATTTCCTTGTTTAATCTGTTTATTATTTTATTGATTGTCTCACTCCGTCCTAGAATGCAAGCTCTACCAGGGCAAGGGTGGTCTTGATTTTCATTTACTAATGAGTCCTRGATCAGGGCTGGGTGCATAATAGGTGCTCAGTAAATATTTGTGGATCAAATTCCTAGTACCCATTTTCTCCTTACCCTGGATCCCCCAATTTTTACTTCCCATCTTCAGGCAGTTGGAAAGAGCAAGTGCAAAGCCATCCTTATAGTTCTGACCTGTAACAAGAGCCCTGGGSTTCCTGCACTTGGGAAAAGTGTGGATGTGTGTGAGTGTGGGTACAGCTTTAGAGTAGAGGACATTTTATTGTTTATAGAGCATGTGTATTTGAAGTTCATAATGACTCTGTGAGGGTGATATTTTTATTTTCCTCATTTATAGATGAAGAACCAGAAATTTCATTCAGTCATTCATTCATATGCACTTAAAAATTAAACCAAACAAATATTATTGAATACCTACTCTGTAGTAAGTGCTGGTTATAAAGAACACGCCAGGCTCAGCTCTGGCCCCAAGGACATTGTACAAGGTCACACAGTCAGCTGCAAACAGTATTCTACTTCCCAGCCTGGGGCTCCTCTTCCGATACCACAGCTCTGCACATGTGCAAGGGCCCCTGTGACACTCACCTAAGCTGAGTCTCTGCACAGGAGGTTGGGTAAACKCGGAAGTCGGATACCGAGGGAAGCCTGGCAGTTAAGATACCTAGCCACGCCCAGAATCCCAGGGCTGGATGGGACTCGGAGAGATCCATCTTCTAGCCTTAAGGTGCGATGCTGTCTAGACCATCCTAATCAGTTACTTTCTAGGCCTCAGGCACCGTAGGAATCTTGGTTCCAGTGGGGGATGGCCCATTTTCCTAAAATAGTTGGTGTAGCATGTTGGACTCCTGACTCTGGAAGTATAGCCTTTTTGGGAGCTGGACAGTTCTTAAACATTTTTTTTTTTTTAATCATCATCTCTTATTTTACAGGTGAAGAAAGAGACCAGAGAGGTTGAATAATAGCACCAGAATCACATAGCTGGCCAAGAGTAGGATCAAGATCATTGCCTCTAAATCCGAGTCTCTTTATGATACCAAGATTCCTGAGTTGTTCTGCATGCAGAACAAAGACTGTTTTTATATGGACTGAGTAAAGACTTGGTCCCTGGCAGCTGGGTGTATCACAGAGGGAATGGAGCCTGACCACTGACCTGGACTGTGGCTCCCCAGTCTAAACTTTTCTCAGTTTAGCGAACTCAATTCCTTCCCCCATGTTTTCCCCTCATTTTCTAGTTCCCTCCCTCTGCCTCTCGGGGTAGCAAATGTTCAGCTCAAAGTTGCTCCTTGCCTGATTGCATCTGAGAGCTGGAAACACAATGCTAATTAATGTGTCTGTGACTCTAGGCTTGCCTGCCGGGCCCAGGCCCCATCCCTTCCCTGGAGCCCGGAGGCTCTKCGAACTGGCCCTCTGGCTTCTTCCAGCACGCTGCTGCGGGCAGATGCATATTTTAACAATGCACATCTGTTGGCCATATAATCTCTCGTATTTGCCCTCCTCACTTGGTGCTTTGATGGAAGACCCCCGGGGGCCTCTCTCTGTTCCAGCCAAAGTGTTTGCTTTGCAATTTTGCAGGAATACCATCTGATTCTGCTCTCACGTCTTCTGCAGGTTCTAATCAGGCTCTTACTTTATTTAATTAAAAATCTATCTCAGGCAAATACAGACTAAATTAGGAAGCTCTCTCATTCCTGGAACACAGGGAAGGTAGCCCCCCTCGGGGGACGGGCTGGGACATTTTCCCAGGCTAAGATGTCACAGCAAAGCAGATGGGGTCTTGGGTGGAAGGAAGGCGGCTGGGCCAGGGGGCACCAACACCTTTCTCCCTTCCGTGGAACAGCCGAGTGTCCACCCACCCTTCCCAGATCAGGGCTCCCTTGCCAGCAAACAGAGTCAGCTTCTGCTTGTGGGGCCTCCCTTCAGGGCAGCAGGTGAAGCCCTCCACCTGGAGAAACAGCCAGGCAGAGCTGGTGGCTGGGGGACCTCTAGGACCAGCTAGGGCAGGGAAGGGGGGACCTATTAGGAACAGCTGAGGGGTGGGGGCATGGGGGAGACTCTAAGGAATAAGGAAGGACTCCAGGCAGAGCTCAAGGTAGCTTTTTCTTACCCAGGGCTTAATTTGCATTAGATGAATGGTTTTTACAGAGACTGCATGAAAGGCTGATGGACAAGATGCCTGTCCGGGTTCCCTTTGTGACTCTCAGAAATTGTACTGAGGGGACCCTGCTGGGGCCCTTTATGACTACTCTCCCTTTGGCTGATTTCCAGACTTGAATAGACACCTCCCCCACCCAAGCCCAGCTCTGTGCCCAGAAAACATTGTCAGGTCAGGTCACTGGAAAGTGGGGAGCAAATGCCTTTTAGATGTGATTCATGACAAAATCAGGTATCTAGATTGGATCCCAAGGCCCTGCTCTGAGAAGTCTGGCTCCTAACCAGCCGGACAGATGAAGTCTGCTGGCATTTGAAATGAGGAGACTGGGCTAAGAGCATTGTTTAGAAGTTGGAAAAGCATGGAGTTGATTTTCGATGTTAATTAAGCTCTGTGACCTCCTGTGAGTGCCTGTGCCTCTCTGAGTCTCTCCATTTCCTTATCTGTAAAACACAGGAATAATTTAGATTTAGAATGTTGGTCTTTGTGGTTTACTGAGATGGTAGAGGATAGGAAGCATGAATGCCCAGGGTTGGTTGGTGAGGCTCGTATGCCTCAAGGACTGGGTATGTCTCCATCTAATTTAGGTCTTGCATGAAATTGGAGGAGTGAACAATGCTTACTTAGGTTCTGCTCTTTGTGGCACCCACCCCCTCCCACCCTGCCCCCCAAGACAAGAGAGGTTCTTTGCAGGTTCTTTGCAGGATGGAGCCTGGATCATCTATGAAGATAGAGATCCTATAACATCACTTAGCCAATCCATTTTGGTATTTAGCAGCCTTCAAATCAGAATGACCATTAGGCACTAAGTCTGGGGATGCTCTTTAGCCTCCCTGGCTGCCCCTCTCAATCCCCTCCTTCTGGTCCACTATCCAGCCTATTTACCCTGCAGAACAGTTTGTTTCACATCCTTTCCTCACCCGCCAGAAGGAGATTGGAGGAAGTTGGGAGGTTGGCCTCAACTCCCTCTCCCCATCCCAATAAGCCCAGCTCCCGGTTGTAAGTGATCCCCCGGGGCCTGTCTGCTTGGAATCATCTGCTCCAGTGTGTTTGGCYGTGTAGATTTGAAGATAACCTGACACGCTCTTAAATATTTCATCTCTGAGCAGCCGTGCACCTTATCTTCCAGACGTTGAGGCTGCACCCCAGCTGCTGACCCTGCGGTCACTGCTCTGTGGCAGCTGCCAAGAGGTGGCTGGGGCAGACTGGGGCAGACTGGGGCTTCCCTCTTCTGCCTGTCGGTGCTCCATCCCCCATGTGCTTGGCAAAGACTCAACCACAAGGAGCCAGGGAGGTGGTGCAAGGAGCCCTGGCCAGCAGAACCTGGGCCAGGCCCTCTGCTTCTCTGAGCCTCAGTTTCTTAGCTGGGGTAACAATCCCTGACCTTACGAGTGGCTCAGGAATGGAAGAGGTGATGTGTGTCAAGGGCTTTGCAAGCTACTGTGCACTGCTCTGCAAATGTGAGCTGTTATTACTTAGGAGCAAAACCTGTTTCCCTGCAACACTGATTCTCAGAACATCTGGCCAGAGGAGGGAGACTCCTGGGGACTGGACTCTCAATCAGAAGTGGTTTAAGGGGTTAACAAGTGAGCCCATCCCTGTCTTCATGCAAGTCTGCCAGAACGAAGGAGTGGAGACCTCTTTAGGAGAGCTGTCCCAGAGCCATGTGAAGAAAGATCAAGGGGGAGAGGTATGATTTGGAATAAGGGCCTTAAATAAATTTTTCTAGGAATAACCTGAGAACCAAGATTCTTGGGGAACTGTGTGGTGTGGGGAAAGAACTGGCCCTATGAACACCGAATTTATGGGGGAATCAAGATTAAGACTAATTTCACAGACGAGGTGGGCAGGTAGGGCTTTGTTGGCACCCTGGCAGAGGACAACTCAGAAGGAAGGGACTGAGATTGTGCACTGCCTGCCCTGTGGCCTGGTCTTGTTCACATGTACAGAGCACCCAGGAGCCTTCATTAGCTCCTAAGGTGTGGTCAAACACAGCAGAGTTAGTTGACATTGGCCTTCTGACATTTTAAGGCAGGAGCCTTTACTTGTCCCCTGTGGTGGAGGGACAGGGGAGGGGGGTCACAGACACCATGGGGGCAGCTGGGGCCCTGAGATGATGTGGTGGGGGGTCCCCCACCTGCCCAGAAGGCCCCTCCTGGAGCTGAGCCTGGTGGTGGCCAGAGAATCCTTGCCCCCTCACGTGGTTGGCTCTTACCTAGGACGGTGAGGCGTGCGGGACGGGACCGGATGGCAGCCTGGATGGCCTGGCATTCGTAYACAGCATCATCTTGCAGTTCTGCCCGCAGGATCTTCAGGTGGTGTTCCCCTGACAGGTGGTTCCCCACCACCAGGTACTGGGGGTAACCTGTGGAGACAGCGGGCAGATGAGGGAGATCAAAACATCCCACCCCARTAGACTTCTGTAGCCTGTTTCCTGATGGCTATTTGGAGGCGCTACAGGCACCAGAGAGATCGACTCTGAAAAGCTGTCCACTTACAAAAAGAAAGGCACTTAGTGGGCAGCGGAAGCAGGTAGAAGCTCTTCCATCTGATCTCCACTATCTGCTGAGGAAAGATCTTTTCACAGGGAGAAGGGATTGTGGAGSTGACCCCTGGCCTAGAAAGAGATGGCCTTGTGGTGACTGGGACTGACAGGCTTTATCTGCAGGGTAAGGCCACCTTTGCTCCCTGCATTTCCCTCCCTTCTCCCTTCCAGAACTTTCATCGCCCCCTCCCTCCAGCAGCCTCAACAATCTGTTTCTTTCAGGAGCTCAAAATGTTATTTCAGCTTCAACTATCTGGCCCTTTCTTTGAGTCTCCTACTTTGAGGATGGCGCCCATGTTTCGGTACATTAATAAGCTTGTCTACTCCCCCTGTTAATCTGTCTATTGTCAGTTTATGTCACAGGCTAAAATTATTAGACCCTCAGGAAAAAGAGAAGACTTTTCTATTAGCTCAGGGGAGCTGGGTGGGGGTGGARGAATGTTGGTTATGGCTCAGGGACCCGATCTCCTGTAAGGAGCAAAAAAAGTCAGAGTTTCCCAGGGTGTCGGGGCAGGGTGTGCATGAGCGTGTGTATGTGTGTGCGCATGCGTGCGGGCAAAGATGTTGTGGGTTTTATGTTCAATTGGAGCAAAGCACTACGAGGAAAGGATAGAGAAGAAATGGAAACGCTAAGTGCGGTCAGATACAGCTGGGTTATTGCTCTAGAAAGTGAAATGCTCAGCACTGTGGTCTACTAAGAAGACAGTGTTTTGATAAGGAGACACGGGGAGTGGGGGGGGGGGCTGGCGTGCAAGAGAGAAAGAAGCAAGCCAGACTCACAGAGAAAAGACGGAGTGAGAGAGTGAAGGGAGGAAAAACAAAAGAGAGAGAGAAATATTTAGAAAAGGATCAAAGGTGAATTTTGGGGAAAACTTTTGTTCCAGGATGGACAGGAGCAGAAATCTACTGGGACCTGGGAACCTCAGGGCACTTTGAACCCTAAGTGGCCCTTTTCCAGTCTTTCCTACCAACCACCTCCAGAGCCCAAGGGCCTGATTAAGCACTTGAGGCACTCCGGACACTTAGGAATTTGGGACCCCTTCTACCACTGGCAATGAATAATAGATAAATAAAAGTTTGAGGGTGATAAATCATTGATCAGCTTTCCTGCTGCTGTGTAGGGCTGAATATAAATGCTAACTTAGTAATAGCTGGCCAGGCCGGGCCATTCCTCTTTCTCCTGGATCTGGGGCCCTCAACCTCCTTAGTCTATCCCAGCAGGATCCATCTTCCTGGCATCCCCTCACCCGAACTCTACCTTCCCCAGGAAACCTGTGTACCCTGGGCTTCACACAGACACCCGCACCCCCTCCTGGTTCTTGCCTGCCTCCACCCACCCTCCAGCCGCCCCACATGGCTGCGCTTTCTGAGGCACCTTTCCCAGGTTGGGGCATTCTCAGAACATCTCAGGATTGGACACATTTGGCCTTTTAAAGAAGAGACAAGGGCTAGAGAGAGAGGGGGAGAGAGAAAGAGAATGGACAGAGAGAGACATGCAGACACTTTTTTCAAATATTCCCAAGTCCCGTGGTGTGGGTCAGATGTGTTCTTTCGCTCTTCAGGACAGCAGTGACACCCGCAGACAGCACGTCAAGACATCTGAGGAGTCTAACAAGGGTTCAGTCCAGGCTGCCAAGAAAGGCAGTGAGTCCCCATCCCCAGCTATAGTCAAGCCACGGTTGGAGGCTCACCTCTCCAGGATGCTGCTGGGGTGATGTCTACACTGGATGAAAGACTGGACTAGGTGAGCTCTAAGACCCATCCCCTTCCATAAGCTAAGGATAGTCTGGAGGTGGGGCAGGGTTCCCTGGGCCACCAGTGCCCATTGCTGGTCAGTGGGGTGAGTATCTGTGACTCTCCGCCAGGCCTGGGAGCATGCTCTGGGGGGCCCTTTATAGCCACCATCATGCTACTAAGGGGCTCTGCTCTCCACAGCTGTGCAGTCCTGGCCAGAGATGCTCAGGAGGCAATCAGCTGCACCCCCGAGGGCACCCTCTCTCCTCCTGCCCACTCACCTGCCCTTGACTGGCAAAGGAGCCCAGGTGAGGGCAGCTGGCTCAGCCCCTGGGGCTTGGGCAGGGGGCTTCGAGTGGGGCCGGGCTGGAAGCTGTCCAGTCAGATCCTCTCGCAGCTGCCTGCCCTCAGTGCAGCTGGCTCACCGCCCCCAGCCCCTGCAGCCCAGCCTCTGGATCCCGCTGTCCTGTGATTAGTCCCTGGTCCCCTGCCGGCGTCTTGGCTGGAGCTGGTGTTTTTGTTGTCTTGTAAGCTATCACCAGCAGGATCTCACTCTCATGAGCTGCTGAAAACATCAGTGATGGGTTTGTTTGTATTTGCCTAATTAGGCGGGGAGCTGCGATGCTATCCCAAGGACTGGCAGCATCTTCGGAAAACAGACTCAGAAGCATAGATTCTGAGGATGTTCTAGCTCCTTCCACAGCATCGTTACTCTCTGTCTACTCCTAAAGGAGGCAGAATTATTTAGAGTCTGGGTTCTAAAGTCAAACTGCCTGGATTTAAATGCCGGCCTCACTGTTGTCTTGGGCAAGCTTCCTTCTTCCTTTTTTTTGGGGTGGGGTGGGGTGGGGCATTGGGGATTGAACCCAGGGATGCTTAACCACTGAGCCACATTCCCAGCCCTTTTTTATTTTCTATTTTGAGATGGTCTTGCTAAGTTGCTTGGGGCCTTGCTAAATTGATGAGGCTGGCCTTGAACTTGTGATCCTCCTGTCTCAGCCTCCCGTGCTGCTGGGATTATAGGCCTGTGCCACTGTGCAGGGCTTGGGTGAGTTTCTTTAACTTATTTGTGATTTTGTTTCCTTATTTATCAGTGAAATGAAGACAATGCAAGGACGAGACAGGCGAAGATGAAGCAGAATAGTGTCAAGTGCCTGGTGTATTAAAGGTTAATTTAAATAAAAGACCACAGTGAGTTAGAGGTGAGGTCCCCCCCTTTGGGGCTAGCAGACAGGGTCCTGTGCATTGGCACTGGTTATATAAATGACACAATTTCTCTCTCTTCTGTGACTCTGTTTATCTATTAAATAAAGGGGAAAATCCTCTTGTCCCTCTGGACAACTGTAGATTTTGAGATTATATCTGAGAAGTGCTTCAATTTCTTAGAAGAAAAATGTTCTATCCATATGAGGAAGTAGATTTATAAGTCATTTTCTTTGACTGGTGTTTCCAGCCCTGGTGACCAGAAAGACACTGAGGTCTTCSGTGAGGGTCTCATGCCTGGTACACAAAGGGGGGCAACATGGTTCAAGTGGAAGTGGGCAGACCCCCAGCAGGAAGGGCCCAACCCCGGGCCTCAGTTTCCCTCCAGGAAAACTTTCAAGGTGTTCAGTGTCTTCAAGTGCTTGCTGAATGGGGGTGGGTTCTGCCATGCTCCTCTCCTCATCAGGCAGGCTAGGAGCGTTTATTGAGACGGACAAGTATCGATCATTATTATCAGGATGCAGYTTTGGGGACAAGTGATCAAATACAGAACAGGTATTTATCAGGAGCTT